TGCTTAATAAAAGAGGACTTGTGTTTGAAAAGAAGAACGAAGAGTGAGCGAAATGTGTATTAAGCTTCTTACTTCATCTCAATATTACATGAAGGAACATCTATTTATAGTGATCGTGATCGTGATCGTAAGTAGGTAAGCTTCTATTACTAACTTACGTCGGTAAGTATACTAGTCATGGAATTATCCATTCTCAATAGGATAATTATCTTCTATAAATGGATATTTATCCATTCTTAATATACCTTGTATTTTTTTCTTTTTTTTTGGCAAGGTATTATAAACATTAGAACTTTTGTAAATTCTAACGTTCATTCTATAATAATATTTACCTTTTATAAAAAAAAAAAACTTAACAACATAAAAAAATTCATTATAACTCTGCCACGTACGTAAGATAAGTAATAAAGCAACTAGCAATAAAATAAGGGAAAAAAACCTCTAGGGTTCTTCACGCTGAAGTAAAGCAAACTTTAAATCCAATCCGTACTTTCAGACAAGAACTCAAACACACGAGCTCTCTGATCTTTTCTACGAAGGTATAACAAAGATCGAGTACTACTTTATTTTTAGTTTTACACTTCTTTTTCATATCTGGTTTTTTTACCTTAATTTCTACATTAGAGGAAGATAAAGGGTTTGAGGTTATGCAGCTTTTTAAAATTTACAAATTTGATTTTAATTCTGAATCAGGCTTTGAGTTAAGGTGAAAACTCAGCCGTTGGATCATGGTTGTTACTAGAGCAGCCAGAGGGTCTCCCGTGGGTTGTTGCCGGAGTTTTTTCCCAGAAACAATGCCCTCTCATCCTCTGATACCAGGGCCGTGTTCCTCCCAATCTGTAATAAAACTTTCTTACATGTCTTTTTCTACAGCTACTAAAAACATTAACAAGAAAACCATGTTCTTTAATCGCTCAAAATCAAGCATGTTAACTTTGATCCGTAAGAAATTTTCTAAAACTTATTTTTTACTGCCACTAAGTACTTATTTTCTAAAACTTATTTTCTACTGCCATTAACAAGAAATATAAATTTTAGAAAGCATGGTTTCAGCCAAAATTGTGTTGAATTTGAATCTATTAAAGTCCTTCTATAAGAAACTCTTACATTTCTATTCCTGCCGCCACTAAATAAGTAGGAGAGATCTAAATTTTGGAAGCATGTTGAAGGGAAAAAAAAGATGAAATATCAAAGTCCTGAACTTTCATACTTATGTGTATGTTTCTATGCAAGTTTGTCCGTGTTTC